ATTATTTTCTCTATTACTGCTATTTATTGTTGTTGCCGTGTCAGACGAATTCGAAAAAAACATAAATGTTTAAATAATAAAAATCTTCCTATTGTTTATGATGAACATTATTCAATTAATGAACTTATCAAAGAAGTTGGATCTTTAAGAACATGTAATAATTTGTTGAATAATATTGATAAATTATCATTACAAATGGAGTCAACAGGTTAGTTTTTACCTATTTCTTTTTTTACTAAAGGAAAAATAGAATCTATGAGGGAAAAACAAACCACAACGACAATATGATCGTCTTCGATTTGACTTTGATTCTTTTTTTCTATTAAACAAGTATTGGGTCTTTCACGTCATACCTAATTAAATATGATGAGTTAATTTATTAAGCCTAGCTAGTAAAGGATTTCAAGATAGATTCCATGCCAGAAACTCTATCTATGGTGATAGTTCTAGCACGATGAAATCTTCAAAATTGTCTGTCAGAAAATTCGACTTCCAGAAGTTTATTCTTGGTCTCGAATAAAACGTTGTGTTTTGCTATCTTTTCAAGTTCCCTATAAAATATTTGTACTATTTTGAATGACATTTAGTTACAAAACGGATTTTTTTTGTTTCTATATTTGGATTTATGCAGAAAGGACCTTAGCTGATAAATTACTTTTCCGTTGAGACTATGTGCGTTATGTACAACTAATTGAGCTATGAATACCCTAAAATTAATTAATTCAGGTTCTTCGCTTACTACTGCTGAGATGCTGTACTTTTACGACAGTTTTAAAAGCATACCTTCGAGCCCTTCCGGAACACAAGGAAAACTGGTTTTCAAATTTTTACTGGAATCTGTGCACAGAGACAGGCCTTCATGAAATGAATTTCTCGTGAAGGTTTCTGATCTTTTTGTTGTTTCTATCTTAAGATACAGTTATGGTAAAAGTGTGCCGTTTACATCGTTCATATATAAGAGCAGATTCAATGTTTTTATTTTAGAATTGAAGCCGCTCATAAGATCTGAGGTTTTCACCATAGACTATGCTCGGTAGAACCTATCTCGTTACAAATTTTTCAGTTGAAACCAGGCCTCGTAGTCGTCCTATATTTCCTATATCTTTAGAAATAGTCCTATAATGTCCTCTTATTCAAGTATTTGTCCTATATTTCGTATATATTTCGAAAAAGTAAAGATTATTCTGAAGCGAATCATATTTCAGTCAGAAAAGATACACATTCTTCTGTATGTATTACCATTAGCTTCCACAATAGAACTGATAGCAGGTAGCGACAGTATAATATTAATTGATGGTGATGATAAGAGAAGTAAATTCATAAGTAAGGAGTGATCGAAAGTTACAGAGGTCTTAATGATAGTGAACTACGATGTCAAAATTTTGGGATCTAAAACGCGACCCCTACTATGAAATTTCCCAAAACATTTCTCGTCTAACCTAGCCAAAAAATTTTAGACTTCAGCCCCGATTTTTTTTTTGCATTTTGGCGACATTCATATCATTTTGACGCGTAAAATTATTGCAAATGAATAATTAAACGAATCAGTAAATAGTGAACATCGTATATTAGTGTAGAATTCATTATTCTTGGTGATGGTTTTTCAGTAGCCACAGAAACAAAATGACCAAAAACGTTTTCCGAAAAAAAAAGCGCTTTTTTGCTATTCGTAAGCGTGAATCTCTCGAATGTTATTAACTTTTCTTGAGACTTATTCATAATGTTAAAAATAGTAGATATAATTTTTCATTAGTTAAGATATCAATAAGGAAGTTACGGCCATGCAGGAGTAAAAAACCCCGACTGCCTTACAGATATTACTCCGATAGTGACTCCGAAAAAATATTTTTCAGCCACTCCGTTGGAATCAAAATGGCATTTTGGAGTCCGGTGCAGTTCATTACTTAATTACTATTCAAAAGAAAAGAAAAGTTTCATTTGCTAAACAATTACAACAACAAAACAAGAAACAAAAGACTTAAGTTGATTTAGTCCTAGTATTAAGTAAAAGAGATTTTTTCCTATCATTCATTTATATATTTGCAAATAATTATTTATGCAATTTTTAAATCTATTCAATGTCAATAATCACGAAGATAGATATATGGGTGACATGGGCGAGGATGAGGGCAGAGTGCCGCCTCTAACCTTTGAAAAATGAGAACAGCTCCCATGATTTTTTGGGAAATTTCAGACGAACTTTTCTCCGTTTTCGAAAAAAATATACTTGACCTAACAAATGAAATAAATTTACTTGAATTAATCATACCTTCATACACCAGTCATCTGTATTCGACACGTGTTGTTCACATATTTTTCCATATTTGAAAGTACTTCCATCCCCGCTTTGACCTCTTTGCGCCCTTTTCCCCCTAGTCAGAGAATATAAGTTGTGTATAGAAATATATTTAAGCGTTTTTTTCTATACATTTTTCTTACGTTCTATTTTATATTATTCTGATAAAGGTTTTAGTCAACAATATTTTAATAAATCAATCAGAAACTATTATATGATTTTTAACGTTTTTTTGGATTGAACTCTGTTAAGTTTCTTTTCTTCAGTAATTGAAATGTGTATATATATATTCGTTTTCAATTAACTTGATAACTTCGAGTATAAACTGTTTATGATCGTAGGAGTAATTGTAATGTTTGGCAATTGTTCTAAAAACTTTCTTATGGAAAGAAGTAGTCCTATATATTTCCTATATTTTTATCAAAATCCTATAAAAATACTGCTTTTAAAGTCCTATATTTTCCTATATGCTCAGGACGGATCGCTACGACGCCTGGTTGAAACTCAGAAATCAGTTTTTCTCTTATGTCTCAGGGAACTATAGCATTTATTTAAAAATGACTATAAATTTGTAGTGTCTACATAGCTATAGTCTGAGAGCTAGAATTCTTTTCAAGATATTCAAAACTCATTGGAGTTTACATGATGTACCTAGTCGTAACTCATAAGCGATTAATTAGTTGCAGGACTTCTATCATTAATTGTGTGGTTAATAATCAATGAATTCATATTTTGAAAATGTTTAAACGTTTTCAAAAGAAACTTTCTGTAGAGATTTTTCAGACTAAAAAATCTTCATAAATTTCATTATTTACTTTTCAAAAATACTTTTTCAAATATACAATATTCACAAATTAACATGTCTGCAATGAAAGCTTTTAATCTTATTTTTGTGTCATCTTGTTAACACTAGTTTCTCAGTGATGACTCAGTACAACAGCTGTCTGTAGAACTGAGTTTTTCAGAGCATCTCGAGTAACTCAACATACATTCGACAGTTAAAAATGAGATTAAAGAAAGTTTAGCGTCGAAATGTTTATGCATTTTTATTTTGTGAAATCTCATCACCAATAAATGAAATTGCCACTATATGCATATTGAAATATAAAATCATACTAGAACCTTATATCATTGTACTACAGTAGCTTAACTCAATGACATCCAATTACTGAAAGATCAAATTATGACGTAAATTTTCATGAAATAAGTTTGTTTTCTTTGAGATCTATATTACTGATTGTTCAAAATAATTTTGTTTTTTATTGTATTTGTACTTGATCTGTTTTCTATTCGCTAAACATTAAATCTTAAGTGAACTAATTTTTTAAATGAGATTCATAGCAACATTCTTAAGTCAATAAAGTTGTAATATCTAAATGTAGAATTGATTTCATCATCTTATGTAAGTTTTTCATGATGCATAAACTAATTATTGTGAATAATATCCAGGGTAGAATATTTCGTGACGATCGCATTGTCAATGAATCATATTCGAGCATTTCAAAATAATAATACAATCATATCATAGAATGGAAAAAAAAATGCAAAGTCTATTATATTGTATCAAACATTGTTTTTACTATACAGTCTATACCATAACACACGTGTTCCCATATGCATGCCTGTACGCGTCGAGTAATGGCAGGTCAACGTAGCTTTGATATCTTATTATTCATAGTTCATCATTTGTCCTATGATAGTTATTGGTTTTTGTGTTAGGTAGAGAAATCGTTATTGATAATTTGCTTAAATATTTTAAACAAAATTATTTAACTATTTAAAGAGAAAATTTGATAATTTGAAATCGTAACAAAACAAAATTTGAATAAAAAATGCGACAACGATCACTAGTCTTATCTAGATCACTGCACGGAGCTAGATATGCACTTATAAAATAACAATGAATTTGGTGAATGTATGACAAGACTACAGTGATCACAGAGTCATTTCTACTTTTTCGATAAGAGATGGACTATTGAGAAAAAAATAGATAGCGGAATCTTATACAATATAACTAAACTGTGACCATCAAATTTTTGTTAAATGAGAAAATCGAACTCAAGAATTTCAACAAACCTTCTATAGAATTGAATCCTAGACTCTGAAAAATTCCAGTTCATGTTAATAATGTTTAGCTTTTTTTGTATTAATGACATTCATTGCTTAGGATCATAGCGGGCCCACTAAGAGACTTCTGAATGACTAGAAAATGTTGAAATGATATTTGTTCCTATGAGCATTCAGAGCTGAGTTATGATCGCAGTATTGAATTTTCAACCTATCTAATGTATTTACTACTGTGAAAATTAATTAATAGAATTTTGAACTAAAACTTTATTCATAGATGATAGGTCAAATGACTCTTAGAATATCTTGAAAATTTCAGTCGAAAAGAATCTTCTTTTATCGAGATATTGAATTTCCAAAAAGCATTGTTTGCAAGAAACATACCACAAAAAAAATGAATTTACTTGAAAATTGAATATCTCGACAAAGGAGCATTTATTTCAGCTGAAACTTTCTGGATATTCTAAAGATTAGTAAACTTACCTATAGATGAAATTTCAGGCCGAAAATCTATTATTTAATTTTGCATTAAATACCTATAAATGGGTTCAAAATTTAGTACAACGGCTAGAATTTGATTCGAAAGACTGTGGAGACAATTCATTTTAAACTTTTTCTAGTCGTATCGAAATTCTTTATGGATCCAAAAGGAGCTCAAAAGGGAAAAAGTTACAGTTGTGATAGTTCTCTCGTAAGATCAAAAATAGGTTAGCAAACGATTTTAAGCTTTATTATCAATAGATTTTTCACTTGATAAAAAAATAATATTTATTATTAATTCATTTAGATCGCTTATTAACAACATCATTTAATAATAATAATACAAAAACTATATTGGATAACTTATCAAATGAATCATCAACAAATAGTTCAGGTTTTCATTCAAAATCAACAACAACTATATTCAATAATGAATATAGTCCGAGAGTACCCGAAACAGTTGAGTTGTCATTTTCAGGTAAGAAATGAAAGGAAAAGAAATTGTTATAAGAATTAATAAAGTACCAAAATCAAATTTCTCTTTTTATTTTAGGTGTATATCCATTGTACAAAGGTCAATATCAAATGAATGTGTGATGTAGTTTTTTTTTGTCTTTTTCTTTCTTTTTTTTTTATATTAAAATTATTTATTTTTCAACTTAATTTTTTCTGTTTTGATATTGTTGATGCTTGAAAATATTCATGTTCTTCAACGAAATCCAATATAACTCTATCACGTATGATTTTAAATATTGGATATGAACTATAAAAAATAATTAAATAACCAACTAATATTTGTTCCCAATGTCGACCAAATATACTCCATATAACATGAAATACAATAAGAGTAATAGAGAAAATAAATTGAACTGTTAGAAAGTACGTCGGATCTCCAAATAATCGATAAAGAATTGAATGAGACTTCGATTGAGGATTAGCAGCATTACTTAAATGTTGTATAGCAATATAATATTGATTATTTGAAGATAATTTAATAACACTTCCACGTGTATATGAATTACATTCTGATGACCATTCACTAATTGTATCTGTTCGAATATTTGATTGTTGACGCCATTGACCAAGATGTGTTGCTATACGATGAAGAGTTGTTTGAAGTTTAACCGGAAATAAAAAGGCACTATGAGTTACAAATGTACTTAATGCAAATATGAAAATTAACATTTTTAATGGTTGACTATCCACTGAACGTACATGAGTATCTAAAGTAAATAATGGCGTTTATTTAAAATTTTTTTATAGTCTGATTGCATGAAAACGACACTTCTTCTATAAAACTCTTTTAAAAATTTAATTATGGAATTACGTATTAGATTTTGAATTAACTATTCAACTTAAACAAAGGAATTTTTAGTCATCTTCTGTTCACTAATAAAAGAATATTTCTTTATAAAACTTCTTTTGATTAAATTACATGCAGTATATAATGATTCTATATTGTCGTTGTAAGTAATCAAATGTTTGTTTTACATAACTTAACCGTCAGTTTTAGTTTTTATTTGAATGAATGAGATTTTCAAATTTAACTGAAATCGAGTTAAATCTAGGAAATTTTACAATTCACAAATGTATTTAATTGAAATCCAATTTGCCTTAGGAGGCTTCAACCAAAAGAAAAAAATCTTAAAACTTATGCTTTTTCAGTAGTATTTTAAATCAATGTTTATTTGCTTTCGAATTCCATTTAATTCATAGATGATATTTTAGAGTATCAGTATATTCTGATATTAAGTTATGGTTCAACCAAAAAATAAAATGAAGTATTTTTTTTTTTAGATTATGTATTCTCTTTCATAGAATAGTAGCTGTCTTTTCATGGAATTTCATACTCTACAAAGTCTAAATGTTACTTCGCTCATTTATCAAGATACTTTCGAAAATTAATTTTTTCATGTCGATACATAAGAATTCATGGATGAATACATTAAAATAAGCAAAAATGAATACTCTGTACATACCTTGCTTTCTTAATGCAAACAAAAATTATTTTCTATTTTTGCGTCTAATGAAAAACGAATTTTGTCTAAATTAAATTTTTCCTAGGCTATATACATAGTCCATCTTACAGATCAGTTTTTCATGATTGAACACAATATAAGAGGTCAATTTTTATAATATTGTTACAGAATAACTCAGTATAGGATTAAACGATAATGCTATGATTAGGCTTATATTGACGTCTAAATTTTGAATAGATCTGCTCGAATTATTTTTCATTTAAAGAAATAAACTCTTTTTATATATATAATTAAATTAGAAATATTTCAAATTTCAATTAAGATTGTTATGATTTTAAAGCTTTTACGAAATGATTGACAAATATAGAATTTAAAATCTAAATTTAAATTTCATATCCAAAATCTGAAAATAAAAATAAAACTCTTTAAGTTTAATTTACCTGCCATTTTAATTGGAACAAAATCAAATAGAATAAATGAAGCAAACGTTCGATAAAAAGTTAAAATTATTCTTCGAACAACAGTTGGCCATAAATCATCGGCTTCTCTTCTAGCTTGTGCATAAAATGTTGAACATTCATGTATTTCAATTTTTTCTTCTGCTACGGATGACCATCGAGACCATAAAACTAAATCTGATGGTAATGTTGATGAACTAACAACAGTAGTAATTTTTCGAGGTAGTGCAGAAGTTGATGATCGATGAGAAGATCGACCTAATAAAGTTGTTGCTATTGAAGATGTTGATGATGACGATGTTGAATGACGATGTTGTTTTCGTGTTGTTACTGATGGTTTTGAAAGATTATCAGGTGATTGTTGAAATAAATTAGGTTTATCAAGAAATGTTAAAATAATTATGTGACCAAAAACTGGAATAAAAAATATTAAATTTAATTGGTGCGTAATAAATGTATGAAATAAAAGCCAAGATATAAATACGATATAAATTAGAACTATCATTACAATCAAAAATTTACTTATACGATTTCTTAATTTTTGATTTCGTTGTATTAAAGATGGTAGTTTTTTTCTTAGTGTCCATATAAATGTAATTATTAATTCAAATAAACCAATGCTCATCAAACCCATATATAGATATATATTTATCAAATCTGTATTAATAGACTTTCTTTCAATTGAATGATAATTATTTGAAACAGTAATAAAATGAGTCTGTTCATTATTTGTTTGTTCAAGTATTTCCAAGGAAAAAGTTGTTTCTTTATGTGGGTTATTCGAACTGAGCCAAAAAACTGCATGACATAATAGAATATAAATAGCATTTAAATGAATTAAATTTTGTAAAGCAGTATATAAACAATAAGTAAGATGACCATCAAGTCTAATAGCTGGTATTTCTTGATGAAAGCGACTAGTTACTTCAGTTTCAGTATCCGGTGCTAATTTTCCCATAATATCTGTCATTTTATTTAGTATAACTCGTTCACGCATTGAATATATACTAACACGACCTGTTGTTGATGTAGAAGAAGAATTATTTGTTGTCGGCATTGATGATAATACACCATTAATGCTACTTGTTGATTTTGAATCACTCTGACTTCGACGAGGATGCATTGCCTTGAGTTATTGGTTGACTTTCTATAGATCCCACTTTATATTGAAAGGTGTGCATATAAGTAAATGATGTACATGTGCAATGAAGCACAACAAAAAAAAGTCGAAAGAGAAAATAGGAAGGAGAAAGCAAAAGAAAAAAAAAAGAAGAAATCAAAAGAAATATGTTTTATTCATCATTGTTTTGACAAATTATTAGTACGACATATTGATTGAAACTAAAAAATTATGATATAAATTATTAATTATAGTTTGTCAAACAGTGAACGTATGCCATATTAAATGGTTCTAGGAATGCATCAGAAATAAATTGAAATTAGTTGAGATAATGAATAATGTTATTGATAAAAATGGCTCATAAAAATAACTTTTGATTATCTTGCGTATTTATAATACGAACTAATAACGTAAAGCGAAACATCTACTATATTGTGTAAAAAACAAATGTTGATCCATAATGACTTTTTTTTCTCTATGACTCACTCGTGATGTGCAAGATTTGAGTGATTATTGTCATGATATCTTTTTCTCCTTCATACTATATTGAATGATATTGATTATTTATTATTTTGAGAAGTTTGTGACAAATCCAAAATGTTTTAACATCCTACATCCTTGCAATGACATTCAAAAGTTAATATTCATATTCTTATAGTAACATTAGTATTACATATGTCTACTACTTCGAAGAGACAAATAATACTTCCGTTCTATCTTTTTATACATTCTTATTTCGCTCTCCCACGCATTTTTTCTTTTTTTTTTATCTTTTTTCATAAGTGTGTGCAAACATTACATTCTTTTTTTATGTGAGTCCTACTGCTATCAAACATCTTTGTATTTATTTCATTGTTTTGATTTTCAATATCTTTGTCTGCTCTTTTTTGCAAGCCGACAACTATTCATAACTAGAAATTAATAAATCTCTTTATTTAAAAGGGAAGAAATGGTAAGTACATTAATTTAGAATTGCAACTAGTTCAGTGTAACGAGGAAACGTTTTCAATGGACCGATCGTTTTTGAATTTGAACTCTGTGTATAAAATACACAACAGTGAGATATGAAAAATCTACAAAGGAAAAATCCTCTTCAATCTTCTGTTCAGGATCTGCAGACACTTTACTGAAACTTTAGCATCTGGTATGATAAATACCAACAATTCGAATGAGGATATTTCGTCCGCAAACAAGTCTGTTTCTCATTAGAATGTTCTGAAAATTTTAGCTCAAAAGAGCATCTCCTTCTCCAAGACATTAAAGTCTCAAAAATCACTTATATTACACGAAAAATAGTAGGACTGTCTGTTCCATGGGACTTTAGTATCTCGGGAAGAGAATAATCTGTTGAGTTGAAATTTCAGAACATAATGCTGACAAATAGACTTATTTGCGGGCGAAATATCATCATTCGGTTTGTTGATATTTACCATACCCGATGCTAAAGTTCCAGCAAGATGTCTACAGATCCTGAACAGAAGGTTTAAGAGAATTTATCTTTTAGTAGTTTTTCAATATCTTAGTGTAGTCTATCTTACTCACAGAGAATTCGAAGTTAAAAGTGATTGGACAGTTGAAAATGTTTCCTTCTAAATTAAAAAAGAAATTCTTTTCTTTGATAGCTTCTCAGTCAGAGTTTTTACATCGGCTCAAGTCGTGTGATTGTCGTCGTTATTTTCTTGCTTTGCACAATTGAAGTGTATTCCCAAAGCACATCAATCGGTTTTTCTCCTGATACTAATGAGTCTGCTGATGGCACTACCAAGCTTTTCTCTACTATCGAAATTTCTATAACAACTACTGCGTCTCCTACTACTATCACGCCTCCTTCTATTAATGAGTCTAATACTAATACTATTGCGACTCTTACAGTTACTACCACGCCTTCTTCTGTTGATGAGCCTATTGTCTATACTATTGAGACTTCTACAGCACCTAGTACGTCTTCTACAGTAGCCAGCACGGCTTCTACAACAGCTAGCACGACTTCTACAACAGCTAGCACGGCTTCTACAACAGTTAGCACGACTTCTACAACAG